AGTCTATTAAGATGGCAGTTACAATTAGTTTATTTTGCTTAGTGGTGTAGCAGTTTCTTTTACAGTTTGTAACTTCTTTTCATTTCAGCAACTGTTATGTATAAGTTTCTTTTCCTTAGAAACTGGTATGTATGTCCGCTGCTGTTTTTGTTAATATATCAGAACAGTGTTCATGTATTTCATCATTTCTCAAGTTTAATCCTTGAGTTTATGTTCATTTTATGTTCATTTTCACTTGAGTTTTCATCTATACATCATCAGTACTCCAATAATAAGCATAGCCACGCGACTCAACAAAGTATCAAAGAAATACTTTTCTCCGCTACACTTGGTTTTGGGCAGTAGCTACTTCATTAAAGCCACATATAAATATAACTCTATCAATAGCCATAGAGACAATTTAACCAAATTATAGGTAAAGAATTTAGTCTACCTGACAAAAATCATAGTTGCATAAAGGGCTTGTAACTAAAAGACATGAACAACTTTAGCAGATATTTAAATGGTTCAGGAGCACATTCACATACCATGACATTAAATTGCTCAGGCTTTGATACCAGCTGCATACAGCAGTTATCCACAATTATTTCATTGTACTTGATTCCTGGATACTTTGTTGCAATAAGCAGGAGGATTGTTCTCTTCCCTAATCAAACAACATACCCATACATACGGACCATCTGATGCAATTGGCCATCCTCCTGCGCATACACAAACATAGAATTAAAATTTTAATTATTATTTTTTTTATCAAATTATAATTACCATTGATTCATAGCTGTTAGACACATACAACATTACCAAATTAGTACACTAACCTGTTGTTTCGTGAGAGGTTTGAGCTAAGAAAGCGGGAGTTCTCTCTTACGAGTATTGATGTCACCAGTGGTGCCAAATCCATTAAAGGATTGAGCCGCAGCGATGAAAGCTTCATGCATGTAGAAACCTTTGCTCTTGCATCTTGCATCGTTTCGATATTTTAGCATTTGATCGAAAAGAGCTGGAGTTATTATGCTGCCTACACCACTACCGCCACTGGGAGTTGGGGCTGCGGTTGAACCACCGCTCTGCCACATTGGCTCTGGCAGTTGGTTCCACATTACTCAGCAGTGGAGCCGCACCACCCGAATTCGCTACAACAGAGCCCATTTGGACACAGGGCATCCCCTGCTGGTTTTCCACATTGCTCTGCTGATGTTCCAAGCACAAAAATTGCTACAATGCCGATGATTAACACAGCAAACAACTTCATTTTGTTCGGATATCTTAGCATGTGTTTGCTTTTGAGTGCATTATC